CTTTTTATTTTTTTTTAATATAATTTTTAAAATTATCGTTGTTCTCAAGTGGTGATCAAAATTGTGACCAAGTAGTGTTTTTTTCTTCAATTAAATATCTTTAAATGAAACCAAAATATGGAAAACGACTAAACCATTGACAATAACGACAAACAATATTTTCCCTTGAAAAAAGCCACAACCTATGGCCGAAATGTCGGGCTGATTAAAGAGCCTAATTTATATAAATTCAGGCTTTTTAGGGTAGATTACATCGTAGTCGTGCAGTGTTTTAAGACTGAGAATGCTGTTAATCAAAGCAAAATTTCAGCTTTTGAACTGTGATCGAAAAATTCCGGATGAAAACCCCGGGGAATGTTTGAATTAGCTTCTCAAAGGAGCTGAAAGAACATCCAGAGAAAGACGAATGAAGCTCTCTTGGATGAAGTTCGAGAAAAGCTGGGAAAACCTCCGGGAAACTTCCAAGACACGAATTTAGAAACTTGTGGCGTAAATTTAAATAAATTATCGGAAAAATAATCGGATATCACATCCAAAGGAAGCCAGAAAAGTTTCGGAAACCGGCAGTAAATTTCCAGAAGTACCCATTTCCAGGGAAAGCCAGAAGAAGCTTGGAAAAACCTTCCAATAGAAGTCGAACAAAAAACCTTTGGCTTATGGTCAAACTTTCAGAAGAAGACCAAAGAAATTTCCGGGAGAATTAATTGAACTTCCTGGAGAAGACGAAAGAAATTTCCTGGAGATGCTGGCAGAAACTTCCTAAGGTAAATTGGAAGAAACATCTGAAGAAAGTCGGAAGCCAGAATGCTTACAGAACAGCCGTAAGAAACAAGGACATTATTCCGAATGAAAAAGATTCCTAGGGGATGTTCTAATGATCCGGAATTTTTTTTTCTGATATTCAAAAAAACATCCCTGAAGACTCCGAAGTTTACCTGAACTTTTCGGAACATTCCTGAAATGCAGGAATGGAATATTTCATAATTCCTCGAAATTCCTTAAAAGTTCTTGTAATTTTCCTGAAATTAGGAGCTGTTTTGGAGTTCTCTGGACTTTCTTGGAAATTAGGAAATCTCTTAAGTGCTCTCACAATTTTCATTTTTATAATTTCAGCAATTTCATTGAAATTAATTGATCTGCCCTGATGTTCTCTGACTTCACTAAAGTTCCTGAAAACCATTAAATTTCCCTGAAGTTCTTTGGACTTGTGAAGTTTCCAAAATATTTATGATGTTTCCTTAAGGGGAAGCTTACCGGCCCGAAAATAAAAAAAATATTTTCGGTACATTTTTATTTCTTTAAAAATATTGGGAAAAAATATCAAAAATCAAAGCAAATCAGTTTGTTCCTTAGATTTTTGTCAAAAATTACATGTAAAATTTTTTTTCTATCTCATCATGAAAAAAAAAAATGGACTCTCAGCAAAACCGAAAAGTCGATGTTTTGTGGTTTTTTGAGTCCAACTTTATGCCATAAAGACTTATAAAAAATGTTTTTGCACGTGAATTTTCTTTGAAAAATTAAAAAAATATGTGATTTTCTTAGAATTTTGATATCTTTTTCCAATATTTTTAGAAAAATCAAAACGTAATTATTTTTTTCGGAGCAGTGAGCTTCCCCTTAAGTTCATTGAAGTTCGCTGGACAATTCTGAACTTTCCGGGTTTTTTTAATTTTAAGAGAAGTTAATGAATCTTTAATTTATCGAAACTTACACAAAAGTCCGGACTTTTCTGAAGTTTCAGAACTTCTTAAATGTGCCTGCAGCTAGTGTGGGTCCACAATAAAAATATGATAGCATCCTTGAAGCTCCGGGAAAGTAAAAAAAACTGGCGGGAGAAGATGAAAGAATCATTCGAGCGAAGGCTGAAGAAGCTTCCAAGGTAAGGTGGAAGAAAATTCCAGGGAAACACAAAACTGGACAAAACTTTAGGAAGTTTAAAAATTAATAAAAACTTCCGGAAGTAAAATAAAGTTTAAAAAATATTTCTCGATTGCCTAGGAATTATCGGAAAGAGCCATTGACTATTTATCAAAAACGGTGAGAAAATGCAAACATTAGTCGAAAGAGTATCAAGCATAAGGCATGTTAGAGATGATTGTTTAGAATTTTGAAGGCTCAAAAAATATGAGGTATTCAAAAAGATACAAGTCTCTCACAAAAATTTTCTCCGAAATTCGAGCCCGGGCAGGCAATAATAATTTTGATTTTTAAAAAAAAAAACGGTATAAATCGGTATAAAATTTTACAAATCGGTATTCTGAGGAACCTTATCTGTATATCGGTATATAGTTTGGAAATCGGTATAAATACCGATAAATCGGTATATCTGGCAACACTGAGCGGAACAGAGCCCGGCGTTAAATAAAGTAACGAAGGAGAATTGAATATGTTTATCCACCTAAGTCATACTTTGACGTAAAAATCTAGTCTATGGTTTTGAATTGCAACTCTGTGATACCTACGTACATGGAACAAAAATGACACGGAAAAACCATTGATTTTCAAATAAAATTGCGCTATTGGAAAAACGAATGAAACGTATCTTTTTTCCTAGCCACCTGTTCTCCGAAATATGTATCTTATTTTATTTATTTATTTTTATTACAGCATTTCACATTAACGCTCTTGGGTCATTCATGACTTGTCCGGGGGTGAGATTTGAACTCGTGACTTTGGCGTGGGAGGTATGGATGCTAACCACTACGCTGGGGTCATCGGTGATCATCACTTTTTGCCAGTGGTGGGAGTTTGGTAAAGATAGATGATCAACCCGATTCGTACCTTCCTCAAAGTTGTCCTTGCTCGCTTTCTACTCTATATATAAAATTTTCACACTGCCGTACTCTAACTGAACTATCAACTCTATACTTTCATCTATCGTATAAAAATTATCACTTTAGCCTGTTACTTGAAATTATCATCTTCAACTGTATAGAGATTGCTGAGGTTTATCGTACGCATACTACGTCACGTATACGTATACGCAAAATGCTTTCATCAGGAAAAAAACTTCATAGCGGAATTTTTTTTTCTGATGAAAACAAATCACTGACACAATAACACATTAGCAATCTCTATTTGATAGCGTATACACGGCAAATGAGAACGTCCAAAATTTGAGTTTAGTTTACTCAAATCGCAGAAATAGCAGGAACTCAGCGATGAGTAAATTTTAAAATAGACAAGTAGCAATAGACTGAGTGAATCCAATCTTTACTTTTCTCATATTTGGGATTTATTACTGGACAAACGTGGAGATACCTGGAAAAACATTAGGTAAATTTACTCATCGCTGAGTTCCTGCACCTTATGTGATTTATGAATAAAATAAACTCAAAATTGGGTCGTTATCATTCGCCGTGTATGCGGCCGATTATCACGCTATTTCAAAACTACCCAAATTTGGGTAGAATCCACCAATGTCGATGTTGTTCATTTGTCAACTTGTAACTTCCAACACAGTCTACCCATTTTTCGGTAGGTTCAGTTTTGACTGATCTGACTGGATTCTACCCAAATTTGAGTAGTTTTGAAATAGCGTGTACTGTGATCGCATACAATATATATATAGGGGAGAAAGGGGTAGATTTTAGGCAAGTGTTGCGTAACATAATTAATGAACGCTCCCCAATGCACGTAGATTTACTAAAGCTTTCTAGATTATATTTTTTGGCGACTATCACACATCTGGAAATTGCATCTTACGTTTACTGCATCCAAATTACTTGAAACAGTGCATTTCCCAACATTCTTCGAATAAGCCAAGTCAACCGCCAAACAAGACACTGCTCTAACCTGCTCACTGGTTGTGTTTTTATTGTGTAATTCTGTTTGTTTTTTCATCTTTCAACCTTCTCGCTCACCATCATAAATCTCTTCTTTAGTTTTTATAAGCTCGTTATTTATGACCTTCCCAGTGTTTCTCTTTCGCACTTTCAATCGTTTTGTCATAGGAAACTGGCATAAACAAAGAGTGCCAAAGCGAGCAGACCCGGCATAAGGATATGCGCGCCTTTCTTGGGCCTTGTGCCGCGTTCCAACCGATTTCGATTTTTGTTTATTTCTCATTTAATTCTACCGGGCCGGGGCAGCATCAGCATCTCGCGTGATTTCCACAACCTAATTTTGGCTATCATAATAAAGCACTTAAAAATCATTATTTCCTCGAGGTTTTTATGTATATACCTCACATTGGCCGCGTCTGTTGCCCTCCATTTCGTTCCGGTTTATGGTTATTCAGCTTGTAGAATTCTAAATTAAAGCTGCTTGGTAATCGGATTAAACTTTTCGATGATAATGATGATGGCCACGATAAAGATGATGTCTCCGTCGTACGATTTTGGCACGTTCAAGGCCGCATGTATTTGAAAACCTCGTTGTGAGCAGTTGCCTGAGGAAGGCCAGCCAAATTCGTTGAATATAAGTTTTGTGGATTGAACGGCACTTCCGGAAATGTCTACTCAATCTTTTTTGATTTATTATAAACATTGTGATTTTTTATTTACTTAACATAATACTTTATTTTCTATGCTTGCACCGGGATTTCATCGAAATTGTTTTTTGTGTGTTTCTGAAAGTTTGTGAATAATTAATTAAAACCAAACTTTTACAAACTGGCAACACTGCTGAAAACTTACAGACTTCCTCAGCTTGCAAGCAGCAGGAAAATGACTCTGCTTATCCTTGAAACGAGTCTGTTCGGGCGTGTTTCAGCAGCAGTTTATGCGCGTAATTAAACGCCCATAATGGAGCTATAAAAAAGACTGTGTGCGTTTGTGTACTTAACGCGTGTCCCATCTTATGACAAGATTCACCGCCATCAACTGGCTTGGAAAAACGTTTCCCCTCCTGCGCTGCCATTCGTTCGTTGGTGTCAGTTGGCCGCCCCGAAATTGCTGCTTGAGCAATGATAATTACGGCCCCTCGGCTGGGCTCAGAACTGCCATTCAACTGCAATTAACGAGTGTTAACTGATTTTTATCTCTGTTCCGTTCCAGGTGTGGTTCCAGAATCGGCGTACCAAATGGCGCAAGAAACATGCGGCCGAAATGGCAACCGCCAAGCGGAAACAGGAAGAGCTAGGCGATGGTGATGGAGACTGCAGTGAACCAATGGACTCGGACTCGGAAAGTTTAGACCTGGTCGATACCGGCAGCAGCAGTCGGAAGCGCTGCAGGATGGAGGATGATATGAGGCATTAGTATAAGGGACGGGTTTGCTGCTGAATAGCTTGTTGAGTTTGAACTTTCCATTGCTGTGATCAGAGGATTGGAACATTTTGTTTTTTTTTTCAACGTTATAGAAAAGAGAATCTTTTACAGTAGCGCCTTTTACAACAATAATTTTCTGGAGTTATATGAACCTCTGACATTCCCAGATCTAGTTACCGGTAGTGACTCTCGTCGAACCGGAGTGAACCCACTGTATAAATTTATGAGAATTAATATAAAAAGGCATTTTACACGAGGCCAACTAACAAGCTGAGCATAAACTCATGAATTCGCAGATGAAATTAAAGAGCAAAAATCGAATTTACTATACATTAATTTAACTGAAACTAATTTTAGAGTACGTCAAGAATTGAATAGGTAAAGTGAAGTGTGAAACAAAATCGAGCGCTAGGAGATCTGAATGAATGTGGTTTTAAAGATGTGATCCATAGTAATTAAAACTGTATTAAATGACGTTTTTAAATGACGTTGTGGCTACTGATCTAAATCCTTTTGCACAGTGAGATAAGGATGCTTTTGGAATGGTACTCTGCTCATTTTTTAGCAAAAAAAAAATCAGACTTCAATACATTCCAGCGTAAGTTTATATAAAATAATTATTTATTACCAGAGGAACCACTATAGCAAGCGTAATTAGTATTGTTGAGTAAAATAAGACCGACCGTTTGATGTAAAGATGATTTCAATGGGAAATAATTATAGATGGACGCAAAGAAAACGCATTCAGCGATGTAAAAAGTTTGAATTCTCAGTATTTAAATAAATTTCCTTAAGTCATAGTGATTAATATCCAATTATTAGTACTTCATGATAAATTAATAAATCAAAAAGCTAACACGAAACCATCTGTAAAACTTGTATAAGTTTAATAAAGAAATGAAACAAACAATGAAACAGTAAAGCCTGTGTTTTGCCAGTGTGTGAAAGAACCGTACCTAACGATGACAAAAATGAGCAATGAGGCAGAGCATTGGGTCAGCCACGTGCTGTTGACACTTCATCAAAGCAATGTCAGCTATTTTATGAAAAATTGATGAGCATGACAACGTCGCTGATTCAATTCTCCGTTATGACACCCTCTCCTGTTATATGCAAACATGAACGAGTTCACCCCTACGCGTCACGTGACACATGTGGCATACGTTTGTTTGGCTCAGTAGGTAGGTATGGAAAATTTATAGTTATCTTTTAGCACTGATATGTTCTCATGTCGCTGAGCGCAAAGAGAGGGTTCTTGTATGCAAATAGTTTTCACTGGACACTTACTGCCGCTATTAGCATAAAAGTCAAATTTCATGTAATCTGTAATCTTTTTCGAGATAATAATTCTGTCAACGTCCATGATTTTCGTTAAAAAAATGTAATTACTATCGGTAAACCAACATGTTCGACATTTAAATACTGTAGAACACTTTTTCTTTTTGATAGCTAAAATTTTAAATGAAGGGCACTTATTTAGAATTTGTTTAACTGGCACCCCTACACAGGTACGTTACCCAACTAAAATTTTCAGCTTTTTAGTCAAGTTTTTCAGCGATGTGCTGTAAAGTAGCTGAAAAAAGCTGCAGATACAGCTACAAGCAGTAACTAGCAAAATAGGTTTGGAGAGCGTTTACCCAGCTTTTTCACAACCATTATTCAACTTGTCAGTCGCAGTCAATAAATGCAAATGTTACTTATATGCACATATTAATCAAGTTTCAACTTGTACCTGCAAAACAAAGCTAATAAAGTGTTAACTCAATTACTCAAACCATCAATTGTACACAACCAACCAGTCTTGCTGAATAACATAAACATCAAAAATGCTTTTTCAACAACTAAACAACCTGCACTCAGCTAACAAACTATGTTAGCGCATTTTTACAGTCAATTAGGTTTATATTTGCCGTTTTACAACTTTATTATGCTTCTTTACAAAACTGAATTAACTAGTCAAGGAAAGTGATTGCAACAAAAACTATCTTGTAGTCTAACGTCGAAGATATGATTCTGCTTTGAACATTTATTTTTGTGCATAGGGTTTTGATTTAATTTTGGTCCAACCAAGCACAGCTCACACTTTACCTTTTTTTTTTGAGCCCATTTTTTACACAAAAAAAAGTAGAAGGGTCTGTGCCAAGGGGCACGAATGGAAGCTTCACGTAGGACCGCTAGTGGATGGAACAAATGTGAACATTTAGTTCTTTTAATTGATCAATCATCAATTATCTTAACTCCTTCCGTTTTTTATTTGTAAATGTATCAGATTTGTAGTATTTATTTCAACTTGAGTATTTTCGATTCATCTACCCGACTTTAAAAGGTGTATTTGATTTTTTTGTTATTTACGAATTTTTAAGTTTTGTGCATTTTGGTATTAAAGTGTATTCAATTCACCCCTCACAGGATTTCCTTCCGAATTATATGAATGGGGCGGGGCGGAATGTATCATTTGTGCAGAATATGTAAAAAAGGAGGGACTTCGAGAGATTGAACTCGTGAGAGCTAATTTTCTCACAAATTTGATTTTATTGGCTTGCTGGGGACTGAATATTCACCCAAAGCTAATTATTCCCACTTCTCTCAAATTCTATATTGATTTTTAACACTTCCTACCAGCTTGTTCTGGAAAATTGTCGGATGATGATTAATCTCACCAATACATTTAGGCCTACAATTCCACACCTTCTATAGACAGGTTGAGCCTTGATAGCTAGCTGATTGCGGGAACTGATGACCTTGATGTCCAAATAATACTCTTAACAAATTTATGGTGGTCCTGAAAAGGACCGTTTTTAGTGATGGTTGAGTAATGCTGAGCTGAGCACGACGAGCTACTGATTCCGATCCTAGCGGTGAGACTTCTTCTTCCTTCTCTATGGTTGCTCATATGAACTCTGCAGCTCGCTACTTGCAGGCAGCCTTTCGTTGTTGTTGTTGTTGTTGTTGTTGAAAGCACTCCTGCTGCTGCTGCTGCTGCTGCTGCTACTGCTGCTGCTACTACTGCTGCTGCTGGACTGGACACCACCACTTACGGTGATTGAATGAGCACCGTTCAGTGAGACCGCATCGAATTCGATTTTTAAGTCTGTGTTAGGGAATGCACTGTTTTCAGACATTCAGTGATAATTTTGATCACCGTTGTAACAGTTGAACATTTGATATTTTTCAATAGTGACCTATTGAAAATTAACTAAGTGTTCATTTTAGCAGATTGTTAGATAAATTTGCAATCGTTTGGCTTGTTTAGAATTAAAATCTATCTGCTATTGGTCGAAACCTGACCTCTTTTCGTAATGCTGTGCATTTTGGTTTCTTGAAATTGCGTGGATTCTTTAGATCCTGTGGAAATCTATCTAGCCCTGATGTATGTGTTGGTAGAGGGAAAAATGTAAACTTTGCGGGAGACGATGTCTTAACACTCGAAAGCAATTTTGTGAAATATGAAGTAAAACAAATCCTAGCTAGTTCTGCTTGATGATTTTGTTTGATTTTATTTATTTGTTAAGGCGCCGGGAGATACCTGCTAACGATTTGTTTTTTATGATAACTCCTTACTTGAAAACAGGCAAAAACTCACAAACAGGCTGCTTTTTCATGGTATACAGTGTGATGATTCAATAATCAATAAATTATCTCAACATTTAGTGGCAAACCATTCATATATTTTGGTAACATGCAAAAAATTCTATAATCCACATTAAATTGCATATGTAAGCGCCGATTGAAACAATCTTTTCGACGTCACTACAAGGGTGATTGATTAAACGAAAGAAACGAATCGTGCCTACAATTCCACACCTTCTATAGATAGGTTGAGCCTTGATAGCTAGCTGCTTGCGGGAACTGATGACCTTTATCAATGTCCAAATAATACTCTTTAACAAATTTTTGGTGGCCCTGAAAAGGACCGTTTTGTAGTGATGGTTGAGTAATTCTGAGCTGGGTGTTCAACACGGATGAGGCTGTCGAGCTGTATGTCGTTTTGAGCGAGGGTGCCACGCTTGGCATAGATGACCGACCCGCAGCGACTCACAAAGAGCTACTGATTCCGATCCATAGCATAGCGGTGCAGCTTCTTCCTTCTTTAATGGTTGCTTATGTGGGCTCTGCAGTTCGCTGCTTGCAGACAGCCTTTCGTTGTTACTGGAGAACAATTTTCAACGCCACACGCCGAAAGCACTGCTACTGCTGCTACTGCTGCTACTAATTTCGACGACCAAACACCACCACACAGTGGTATGATCGTTGGGAGCGTGTGGTTCTGAGTATGGCGATGAGTGTGCAAAATATTACGCAATTCCATCCTTCCTATTCGCACGCGCCCGAGGATCGGAGGCGAATGCCACTTCGACTTGTTTCGTCTACTTACTACTCTCTGACGAGTTTAATTGTACTTTCCACACAATTATACTAATGCAAAAGTGGTACAAGCATCGGATGCTCTCAATTAATAACTGTGGAAGTGCATCTAGAACACTAAGTTGAGAGCACGCAAAAAGCTAATATGTCATACGCAATAAGCTTGAAATGCGAGGAAGAAGAAGAATAATTGTTGAGATATTGTTAAAAATTTAGCACTAATTCTTAATTCCAAATTCAGCCTACGGATTATAAATCCCTCCTAACACATTAAAACATTATTGGATTAGCTTCGGCTTACGGCTGAAAATAAAAATGGAATGGAAAAATGGATTCGGTCGGAGCGCTTCTTTTGTTTTCGGGAAAAAGGTGTTCAAATATTTATACTTTGCGTTCATAAAGACTTGATGTTGTAGCTTTAGAGCTAAAGTGTCGTACCAAAGATATAATTGACTCGTTAATGCCGAAATCATAGATATATGTGATGTTTTCTGCTCGATAGGCCCAAAATGGACGAGTAGGCTGAAGTTGTTATCTATCCTATCTTAGTTTTATTACAAGGCTAGCTCTTGCGACTAAAGTGTAATAAAGATTATTCGTCAAATACTGCCGAAAACATCTTTTTATAGAAGACAGTGTCAAACTTAGCTTAGCTTAGCGTGGACAAAGTCCCCGGCAAGGTGACAGATAACCTTAGTTTCACATACCCACTTTCAAATAGTAGATGTCGCCATATAACGTAAGCAAAGGGATTGTCCTTCACCACCACAACCGTATTTATTTATAGGAAACCTTTTTTTTTCACTATGTCTCGATGTCAAACAACGGGCAAGAATGCCATATGAAAAGAGCGAATTTATGATTTTCATAGTGAAATGAAATAAATCCATACAAATTGAACGGATGGATTGAGTTTCATCTTCTGATATCATCGAATGGTAATAAAAATACTTTGGTGTCTTCAGTTATAATTTCCTCTTGAATTTGATCAGCCTTCAGATGATTACTTTAAGCATAGATTTGCGATGAAGGCATGAGCCGTATGAATAAAAAATGTTTACTTTCCCGTGTTTCTCTTACGGGGTAAGTAAAGTAAACGAGACATTCGA